TGATCTCCAAGGTCCATTCCAACCCTTAAATTCTATGAAATATTCAATGTCAGGAATCACCAAACAGAGCCAGATGTGCCTGAAATATATCAAATGCACAAATATAACTATTTCAGGCACTACATTCATGCTCCATTTTCTGATAACTACATGACTGTCATCTGGTCTCATGTCACACAGAGGAAAAGTGACAGCTGAGCACTGAGATACAGCAGCAATTGTTCTGCTTGTTTCTAAAACTAGAAAGTGTTTTATTAAACTGGATAATTAGCACAAGAAATAAAAGGATCTATATCCTGCAGTTAAAGTAGTCAAATCCTGTTCCTGAGACATTCTGTCCTATCTATGCCTCTATCTCTGCATCTGAGATGTTCAATATGCTATTGGCAGCCTAATCTTTCAGAAGTGGTCACCAATTTTCCACTGTCTTGGCAGATATATTTAGTAGCCTGTGCTGTCAGCAGGCTTAAATGGATCTTAACATATGGAGCACTACATAATGCCTTGAACTCCTATTGAACAGATTGTGAATGCATCACACATCCAAGACTACTGGGTATTTTTTACTCTCCATCAATGGGTAAACTGGTTGGTCCTTCACACAGATTTCATCAGATCACTGTCAAGTTAGATTAATATTTACAAACCCTTAAATACCCATGTGCAGAGTGCCAAATAAAGCTTAGAAAAATTAATACCACCATCTTCACAGCAGTGAATTAGTGCAAACTAGACACAAAGTCACTGAACAAAAGGTAACAGAGTGAGCTATACAGGAACACTACATGTTAACTGAGCACTTAATCTGAGAAATAAATACTTGTGCACTTAAATGCCTCATCATAAGAGGAAAGAAAAAGTAAGTAGAGATAAGTGTATGTACATATTTGTGCAGATTATTTAAATGCAAGCAGGAGAAAGGTTAGGTAGTGGGACAGAGCACCTAAGCATCACCATGTTGGGGCTTGTTCACTCCCACATTTTCCTAGTAGTCTTGCAACGTTCCCCTTCATCCCTGAACTTGCACAACACTTCTGTAATGCCAAAGGAACAGAATCTAAATCCCATGGGGCTATATTATCATGCAAAAATAATTTCCACAGTATTCTCAGGGACAAAGGGATCTCTTTCCAATCTGCCCTGGGGATGTCACCAAGTTATGGTGCTATGGAAAAATGTAATTTGCTTTTTCTATTGGCCATTCCATAAAAATTTCAGTGAAGTGTTTGGATTAATGCCAACTTCCTTCCTCACAAGCAACTAAATCCTTTAACATTTGGGATATCATTTCAGCAGCCTCCGAAGGAGGTGGGAGAAATGGTAAAGGCATGAAGTGAAAGACTCCAACATCTGAGTAAAATTATTAAATATCCATCAGATAAATATTTACCAGATCAATGACAACCAAACAAAGTAAATTTACTGCAAACACAGACAGAAAGTTTTATGACCTCTGGATTCGCCACAAACAATACCATGAAATACCATGACAAGTGTTGACTGCTGAGCATTTAATTTCAGTTTAGAATGTATTTGAAGTGCAAATTTGTTCCATTTATAATGTGGGTTTGAAATAAAATAACCCTTTTTTCAAATATCTAAAAAACTGAAATTCCTTTAGCTCTGTAATTGTTTATCAATTTATTAATTTTACTGTATGTGACAGAAATTTCTCTTCAATTATGTGCTGAAACTGAAGTGGGCAGTTAAAAATCTTCTGGTCATCTTCAAAGTAGTAAGGGGGAAAATGTTCAACAATGAGCATTCTTAACAAAGAAGTCTGAATGCCTCGGGAAAAAAAAAAATCCTGCTCTATACTCTGCATCTTAATGGAAAGGCTTTGCATCCCTGACCTGATTCCAAACATCTGTGAATACAACATGCCCTAATATTCTCCATGGGAGTATCCCTAGAGCTCATGCCACTGTTAAAACATCCACTGAGAAGCCAAAAACAAAACAGTCAGAGCAGCAGATGCTGGAAATAATCTTTTCCAGTCACCACACAATCATTTTCTCAGCAGAGAATTATGGCCACTGTTCTATTAACTCACTCCAAATGATACATAACATGTGCTAAACTACAGTTGCAATAAAAGGCTACATGTCTAGTAACTCAGAGAATCTACTCTGGTTTTACTTGGTATTAAATATTTGCCCAACAGCCTCCTTGTTTTTTCATCAAACTCTTCTAACAAATACTTCATTTCAGCCTCTGCCCAGCAAGAAACTGACATCAATTAGCTTTTAGTGTGATAATCCCTTCTCTATAAGCATGGGCATCACACCCAAAAAATTAGATAGTACTGGTTTATGGCATTCAGTTTGAACACTGGAAGTGTTTTACTGTACAGACAGCACTGGATTCTGCACATCCTATTGTGTTGGTAATCTATCCCTGCTGAAGATCTACCAACACAATCACTGAAATGTGCCACATAATTCTGAAGTCCTTGATGAATGTGACATCCCTCAAAAGCCTGATATCAAAATAACATGACAGTCCATAAAGTATTTTTCACTGTAAAACTTCCCAAAGGCTTTCACTAATTAGATTTATGCAACTTCATCAAAATAAAATACAGCTGTGGATGGCAAGAAAAATAACAGAGCAAAGACTGTACTGCAGAATTATGAGAAACAAAATCATAGAATCAACCAGGTTGGAAAAGGCCTCCAAAGACCATCGAGTCCAACCCTACCGTGGTCACTAGACCATGGCACTAAGTGCCACATCCAGTCTCAGCTTGAAAACCTCCAGGGATGGGGAATCCACCTCCTCCCTGGGCAGCACATTCCAATGCCTGAGCACTCTCTCCACAAAAAAAATCTCTTCCTAATATCCAACCTAAACCTCCCCTGGCAGAGGTTGAGTCTGTGCCCTCTTGTCCTGCTGCTGGTTGCCTGGGAGAAGAGACCAACTCCCACCTGACTCCAACCTCCTGTCAGGGAGTTGCAGAGGGTGAGAAGGTCTCCCCTGAGCCTCCTCTTCTCCAGGCTGAACACCCCCAGCTCCCTCAGCCTCTCCTCATGCCACTTGTGCTCCAGTCCCTTCACCAGCCTCGTTGCTCTTCTCTGGACCTGCTCCAGCACCTCAATGTCCCTCCTGATAGCAGCAATGCAACACACTTCAGCAAATCCCTACTATTCGGCAAAACAACTCAAGACACTGAAAAATTGTCTCTACTATGTAAAGACAATACTCTTTAGTAATGTGTGAGGAACCACACAGACCTGAATTCAGACCCAAATGTGGTATCAGGTGGGAACAATATCCCAGGGCATAACACAGCACACACAAGGAACCATGACTTTTACCAGCTGGGCAGAGAACCTTTAGAAAAACATTGCTCACAAGTTCTTTTCTCACTTATCTAGATACTCCTACACTGCAAGCACAGCCTCTGGCAGAGAGGAACACAGAAGACAGATTAGTCTCAGCTTCCTCTCAGTGATGCCAAGAGGTCACTGATTTCCAGGAAGATAAAGACATAATCACATGACAAATACTGAGAAAAGCAATTGCTGCCAAGGCAGATGGAAGTGCAGTTCCTAGATGCAGAATCTGACCACATTCAGAAGAAAATTGGCTACACAGCACCTGGTCTATGACACTCCACTCTGAAACAAAAGCTGAGCATGCAGCTGCTGAGGAGAACTGTGCTACCATCCAGAAATAAACCCTCCATCTTCTGGAAAAGTTAGGAAATCCAGTCAGCAAGGTGTACGGCAGAGCTCCCAGCCCACACTGTGTGCAGCCAACATGAGCTGTATTGCACCAACACCCAAAGTCATCACAGGCAACTGAATGAACAACACTCACTCCTGCTACACAGCACAGCAACTAAATGTTTGCAGCTCTAACCCTTCACCAGATAGTTCACCTATAAAGGAAAGGTTTCTAAGTCTGCTACCATGTACAGACAACAGATTACATCCCTGATCCACCAAAGCATTGAAGCTAGAGATACAGAGATCCTGGATCCAGAGCTGGCCAGATGCCAAACACTGTATATGTCCTGCTGCAGCATTAGCTCTTTTATCCTCCTTTTTACTGTAAATGGTAAACAGCCTCATAGTGGTTTTGTTTTTCACCCCAGCCATACTTTATCAGGGCACTACCATTTTAAACCAGCTCATACTTATCTGACCCTACCATGCAGATTTCTTCTTCAGTGAGAACCAGTTGTCCACTCTAAATCACAGAACCAGAGGCTGCACAAGGAGAGCTCCCACTGTTAAATCAGTGATATCAACATTTGGTGGTTAACAAAGCAGTAAGCAACTGATCTTACTCCCTGCTATATGCACAGCTTTGCAAATCTCTTATTGCGACTCACCAGAATTTCTCTTTGTTCTTCAAGAGTTTTTAAAAAGTTTGAAAATTCGTGAAGTGATGCATCTGTAACACAAAACCAGAAAAAAAGCAGTTTAATCGTGGTGTAGGATGGCATGGAAAATTCAGCCACTTATAGTCACTTCTTACCTACCTATGTATCTTTCATCATCTGTCTCTGCATCACCAATGAATTCAAATTTAAAGTCTCTCAGAGAATGGGCGAATTTTCTCTGGGCTGCTGAAAGGTCTGCAAGGAAAACAAAACCAGCACAGGTTAAAGAGAATCATTTTAAGTAAGCCAGAAGACTTCTCTATTCCTAGAATAATCAACTTTTACAAAAAACTCTTAACACAGTTCTGCCTAAGGACATTACAAGACATCCAGTGTTGCCTAACCCTCTTCTGCTCACATCTGGGAGTGTCAAACAGATTTCTTTGTGCAAGGCAGTAGAAAGCACATGTGATCATAGAATCATAGAATTTTAGGGGTTGGAATGGACCTTACAGATCATCCAGCCCCAACCCCCTGCCCTGGGCAGGGACACCTCCCACCAGAGCAGGTTGCTCAAGGCTCATCCAACCTGGCTGTGAACACTGCCAGGGCTGGGGCAGCCACAGCCTCCCTGCGCAACCTGGGACAGTGTCTCACCACCCTCACAGGGAAAACTTCTGCCTAACATCTAACCTAAATTTCCCTCTTTCATTTTGTGCCCATTGCCCCTTGTCCTGTCACTGCAGTTCCTAACAAATAGTTCCTCTACTGCTCCCTTGTAGGCCCTTCAGATATTGAAAAGTTGCTCTGAGGTCTCCACACAGTCTTCTCTTCTCCAGGCAGTTGAAAGATAGTGTTCACAGCCAGGTTGGATGAAGCCTTGAGCAACCTGCTCTGGTGGGAGGTGTCCCTGCCCAGGGCAGGGGTTGGGACTGGATGATCTCTAAGGTCCATTCCAACCCCTGAAATTCTGTGATTCTATGACCGTAGAATTTTCTATGTATTACATATAGATGCATCCAGCAGGGAAACATTTATACATAAACCAAATATAAAGTGTTGCACTGGAACTAGAAATTTCATGAAGTTAAACTTTGATGCTAATTTTATATAGCTACTTTGTAATAGCCAGAAAATATTTTCAGCAACAACCTCCTCTAAAACATTTCTCCAACCCATTTTTTACCTATTAAGGTTTGACAATTTGAGGTTGGAGGCTATACTCTTACATCCTTCAGGAAGTAATCAGACTTCACATTCAGCCACAATATCATCATTATAAACCCTTATTAAAATTGATAAAGTTGTAAATAAACAGTGCACACACACTTTTCCATTGTGCTGGCATGTGCAGCTTGGGAATGTCATAAGTCCTGGAAAGACAGAATTGCTTAGTGGAAAAAAAAGGATGCATGTCCTGGTACACATCTACCCAGTAGTAAAGGTTTTACCCAGTCAAAGTCAAGGACCATTTAAAATATTTCGTTAATCGATAATCCTTTTCTTATCACATGCAGTTCTGAAGGGCTAAGAACAACTCTTTTAACAGACCAGCTAAGCATTTTGCTCTTTAATATTAACTGGCACTAAAATGATTACCAACTTGGGCTTTTTTAGTTGTTCTATTTTGGGGGAGGGCGGTTGTTGTTGGGGTTTGTTTTTGAACCAAAACCAAACAAAAAATCCCCTAAATTTATTATAGTTCCTGCATCTGACGCATTATGCATTTTACCATGTGTCAATAGTGCATCTTCAGCATACAATGCTGCACTGAAAGTTCAATTCAACTACTTTAGAGGTTGAGACAGAAACACCCTACAAACAGCAAAACACAGTCTAAAACATCAAAAAAAAAAGCTTTTCTGTTCCTTGTCACTTCTTTCTGTTCACCCAGTTCTCATTAGTCCTTTCCTCAGCTGTTGTGTGCCAGTGCTTCTCCCTGTGCTGTCAATGCTTCCCTTGTGCAACTGCAGCTAAAGCCTGTACATGTATCCATCAACACATGATCCAGCAGGCTGTTGCACAGGGTTGAAAGAACAAGGGCAAGAAGGTTGAAGGAAAAAGTAACGTGATTCCCATGCGGAAGGAAATTTGGGTGTTTTGATTCAAATGTTCATAAACCAGACAGCAAAAGAAACAAGTTCTGTTAGCTGTGAAAGGCTGAAATATGGAAACCAACAAGGTTCTTAACTGTCTAATGTTACACTTATTTGTGAGCCAGGCCACAACACAAGGCTAAGGAAAGTTTATTTATGGGAGAATGCCTCCAACAACACACACATTCCCAAATTTACTTAATTTCCTTGAATCCTATAATCCCCTACCAAAGCCCTGTCACATGAGAACTAGAGGAAGGAATTGTTTATTATGTTTTCTCCCACTTGGAGAGGCGAAGTATTCCAATAACGCTGAGCAAGGTATGTGTTAAGAGACACACGAACACACCATGCCCTTTTCCCCTCACAGGCTGAAAGGCTGGGAGGAAGTTGGGGCTGTTCAGCCTGGAGAAGAGAAGGTTGTGTGGAGACCTCAGAGCAACTTTTCAATATCTGAAGAGGGGCTACAAGGAGCTGCAGAGGGACTCTGTGTTAGGGACTGCAGTGAGAGGATAAGGGGTAATGGGTTCAAACTGAAGGAGGGAAAGACTAGGTTGGATGTGGGAAAAAGGTTTTTACTCTAAGGGTGGTGAGACACTGTCCCAGGTTGCCCAGGGAGGCTGCGGCTGCCCCAACCCTGGCAGTGTTCAAGGCCAGGTTGGATAAAGCCTTGAGCAACCTGCTCTGCTGGGAGGTGTCCCTGCCCAGGGAAGGGTTTGGGATTAAATGATCTGTAAGGTCCATTCCAACCCCTAAAATTCTATGATTTTATGATCTGCAGTCAAACCTTCCACTGGGAACAAACAGCATGAAACTGCTCCAGCCTTTACCCTAATAAATTCCACATATCCTACAGTTCACACACCAAAGTTCAGACAAGCATTTATAAAGGTCTATAAAAACAAACTAGATGCTGATGTCATCATAAGTACTATAGTCTCTCACTATTGTGCTACAATTTAAATGCTGAAGTCAGAAATTTCATAAAAGTAACTTGGCTTTCTTACCTGCTGTGTCAGAAAACATCTACTATGGCAAAAGTATTTGCCAGGCACAGACAGACACACCCCAGTATTGTTCCACACCAGCATTAGAGCTTGCAAAAGGAGTACATGTGATATAACAGACTGTAAACATATATGGATTCAAGTAAGACACTGGAGTAAGACAGCACATGAGTACAGTGTGTATCAAACAGCATGACCAGTTACACTGGTTATGTGAACAATGCTGTAGCCTACCTAAACACTTAGATTTTAGGGAGCCAGAAAGTAACTACTTTATTCCCTTTAAGCTCCACATTCTACACAGTAACATCAAATAGAAAGGCATAGGAAATAGCAAGAGGGTTACTGCTTGTTGAAAGCCTCTGTTATCACTTGAAGGGAGGCACAGGACATTAGAGAACAAAGAGCATTTTAAATATCAACCAAACCCCAACACTCCTGAATACAATGTAATCCTGGCAAACCCATAAGCAGAGTCATTTCAAAGACTCACCTTCTAAAACACTAAAAGAAACCTGCTAAAGCCTGAAGACACATTTCCAAAGAGAGAAGAGAGGGACATAAGGTCACCACGGCTTTTGATTTTCTCTCTTTGTTCATATCACTACACTGTACTTCTACATGTTTGGATGCACCTACTTAAAAGCACCAGAGGAAAGAGGAGCAGCTGTCTGCTCTCCCAGTTTGCTCGGAAACACTTCTGTAATGAGTGCTCCTGTTGGTTTGTCCCGTGCCAGATGCACTGCCAGTGCCCCACGCAAACATCTCTGCAATGTTTCCATTGGGATTTGAAGGAAAACACTTTTGTTCCTTATCTGAGTTGAGCTGAGCCAACAGGACACCATTAGTTGCTAGGTGGTGGCCAGACCTCACTGACAGCACCAATCACTCCCTTTGAGAGCAGTACTAACTTCAGTGCTACCCACCCAAACTAAATCTTGCACAAAGCAGACAATATTGCTTCCTAAGGCTATCCTAGATCCTTTTTGGATGAACCACCTGCTTGTAACACCCTTTTACCTCAGTGTTCATATTTTTTACAGCAATCTGCAGGTTTCTGCACCAAGTCTTTAGGGAGGACTGGAATTACATCACCATTCCTCAGCCCTAACTACAAATCTCACTGACTCTAACAGATATGCTCCGGGAACGACAAATTTTGAGCAGCTTTATTTAATATGGGTTAAAATTGCTGTGGTTTCATTTAATAACATTCTCCCCAAAAAGCTAAAAGGTTAACAAACACTGAGATTTAACTACCAAGCTCATCTTCAAGCTACGTTACTAATTTAAGGACTAATATTAGAGTTCTCCATGTGTTTTTCTTGCAGTAGGCCAAGATCAGGCAAGCTACACTGTCATGGAACAGGCAAGAACAAGCTGAGAGTGAGTTGGCCTCTCTCCTCTTCTTCCCAGGCATCAATCTCCTTGCAAGAGCTAACAAAGCAGCTTCAGATGAACACAGCACTTAAAATAGTTTTCCAAGAGCTGCAGTACAGACTTGTATGACATTTTGTACCATCTCAATGCTTAAAAAGGAACTCTGTGTTCCCCTTCTGTGTCCCCTTTAGCAAGGTGAACAATGAATCTAATACATGACACTGAGAGCATGAACAGGATGTAGTCACTACCTCAGTAAAGGTGGATAAATGGGATTTACTTAGCAACTCAGCAGATGCAAGAAGCCATGTGGCAGAATTCTTAAGAGCAATAACATGTTCCCACTCCCTAAAACCAAGTAAACTTTATACTACTCATTTTCATCTGATAAATATATTGAAAGAGTCATCAAAACAAGAAAATCTACAATAAAGCTAAAATACAGAGCTATTCATTCCCACGCAAAACCAGAATGGAAATCAAGTTCAAAGACTAAAAGTTTTCTGGAGTTCTGCCTGTTTGGATAACATCATGTTACCTGTGGCAGCTCATGAGTTTCTGAAGGCTTAGCAGCTTTGGGCATGAGGATTAAAAAGAAACATATTACTGACTTGTCAAGTAGCTCAATTTCCCTGCCCTTCACCCCCCAGCACAATCCAGGGTATTTGGTCCATCCCACACCTCGAAAACAAATATAAACCACAATCTCTCACCATTCCTGTTTAATTCCACCAGCATTCTGCTCCCACTGGCCCAAAGGAACCTTTCCAGC